CGAGGTGCGGCAGCGGTTGCTGCTGCTGCTGCTGCAGAGCGGAGGCTGTTGATGTTGCTGGTGCTGGTGCAGGGGCTGAGGGTAGTCAACCGACTGCCTCGGCGTGGGGCCCATGGGGCCGGCCTGGTGGAGGTTCGGCACGAAGGCGGGGCTGCCATCGCTGGGCGGCGCCGAGGGCAGAGGGTCCCGGCGCGGGCGCTTGCCATCGCGACCGGCCTTATCGGCGCGCTCGCGCAGGCGATCGATCCACGAGGGAACCGGCTGGACGATGCCCTGCTGGCGCTGTGAGGCCGCGCGCGCGTCCCAGGCCTTGACGAAGAGGTTGCCAAAGGCAAGGTGCATCGGGTTGTGGAGAGTATTCATGAGGCCGCGGAGCTCGTGGTTCTTGGTAATGGCGTCCCAGGCGCGGTCGACGAGCGGGCCTGTTGTCCGCTGCCGCATCTCGGTGACGAGGAACATGTAGGCCGGGAAAGGAAAGTGCAGGAATGTGTACCACTTATAGCCGCGGAGGCTCTCGGCCGACTGGACGATATTGTCGTACTCGATCATCTGGGTAGCTTCGAGGAACAGCGTGTCACGCTCGTGCTCGTTCAGAGCCGCGGCTGGGTCATTGTTGGCGAGGCGGACGAGGAATGAGACGACGCGCATCTTGCAGAGGGCCTGTCGCGTCATGGTCAGGGTGAAGAAGTGGAGAGGTATCTTTTGGTCGCAGTAACGAAGGTACGTGCCCTCAATGTGAGCGAAGAAGCCGTCGAGCGTGTACCATTGTCCGCCGGGGCCGGCCATGCGGACCATGGAAAGAGGCCGTGAGGCGATGGGGTTGTCTTTGTCTATAGGGACGCGAGGATCCTTGGATGCGTCGGTGCTGATGGCCATGGCAAGCTCAGCGCGGATGAGGCTGAAGAGCATCTCTGTCGGGCCGGCATGCTCGGTCGGCGCGTCCTTGCCATCAGCGTGGAGGTCTGTATCATTGATATTGAGAGGGAGTTTGCAGTCGCCAATGGTCGAGAGGGCCGTGACCGTCGAGCCCGTCATCTCGCCTATGCGGCGGTCGTACCCGACTATTGTCCACCAGAGCCGCCTGCGCTGTTCGACCTCGAAGGGGGACAGGCCATAGACTTGAGCATCTCGATGGAGACCCATGCGCTGGCCTATTCGAACAGCGATGCCGACGTAGCAGAAAATCTGCCGTGGATCGATGAACATGCGAATGGCTATCTGTAGCTTGGGTTACCTCGTGTACATGTGAAGCAAAATCGCGAGGCAGATGCTTACGAGGAAGAGGATATAGGCCTGCAGTACCATCATGTCGGTGGTGCGCATGAACCCAGCGTTGACCAGCGCCTGCTGGCCTGCCTTGTGGTACCTGGAAAGGAGCTCAATCTTTGGCTCGCCGAAGAGCTTCCTGCTCTGGCCGTCATCGATTGTCAGGACAGCCATGATGTAGATGCTGAAGAGCAGGGCCTCGACGTTCTTGGGGACATCATCGAGATTTTTGGTGGCCTCGAGGACGAGCCCCTGCACGGTAGGAATGTGCGTGATCTTGAGCAGCGGGTTGACGTTGTTGATGTAAATCTGCCACAGCTCGAAGATTTGTACGGGCGTAGGATGATAGTGGTAGACGGAGGTCTCGCGGTTGGCGCCGACGATGAAGGGGAAGCCGTCCTGATGCTCATACATCGTATCAAAAGCGCGATGAACAGCCGAGCCATCGAGCTCTTCTTCGTCAGACGAGTCTCTCATGAGATCCTCGCTCGCTCGGAACTGGACACGCGTAAGAATGGGTGGACACTTGGTTGTTGTGATGGGGTCACGGCACGCTCAACATACTTCTCGGTGGAATAAGAACCATTTGTAGGGCACCCTTCACACGAGGATCAGCTTTAGCCAACAGCATTCACGGTATAGGCAGGGAGACAGGGAGGCAGGGCAGGGCAGGGCAGGGCAGGGCAGGGCAGGGCAGGAGAGGGTCCCATGAGGTCACGGAAGGGCTCGGCGACTTCGCGGGGAGGGAGGGGCTATGTCTCACTTGTCGGGTCGGTGCGTGCCGGCACCGAACACCTGTCTTGGAGGAGGAGGCTTGACTGCCATCGGGCGAGGTGTGCAGCCCCTCGAGCTCGTTCTCGAGATCGGCCACCTCGACGACGCCGCCATGAATGGAGACTCTAAGGTCACGGCGATGGGGTCAACGCTGACACCGTTCTCGGCGAGCAGCGTCTCGTACTTCTTGAGACGGTCAATGAGGTCCTTCTCCTGGAGTCGCTTCTTGCGCCGGCGAGCGGGGATCGGCGGCACGACGCGGCACTCGACGCGGGCCTTGACACAGTTGGCGCATGGTTTTCTCTTGTCGCAGCGAACTTTCCTCTGCTGACACAGGACACAGGAGGTGCCACGAGTCAGTTTCATGGCGTTGGGATCAAACTCGGGGGGGAATCCGATGGGTACGGGGATGGTGCCCGGTATTTGGTGGTGGACCCCAGGCACGGCGGCAGTGGTGACAGCAGGTGGCGGTGGTTGTGGTTGTGGTTGTGGTTGTGGAGGCGCGGGTGTCGACTGTTGTACGTGTGTCTGAGCGGGAGCAGCCGCATGAGCATGAGCATGAGCTTGACCATGGTCTTGGCCGTGGTATGGACCGTGGCTGGGGCCCTGGTCAGGGTCGTGGCCCGACATGGTGGACAGTCCTCGGGGGATGCGCGCGGATGGGGTGCGATGCGTGGCAGACAGGGGATTCAGATCAGTCAGTGAGAGATTGACGCGGATGGGATTGCCCAGCAGAGCAAGGCGGCGTCGAGCGAGTGGAGCCGGCGCGACGATCGATCTCGGTCCCGAGGATGGATGGCCAGGAGGAGCTCGCGCTCGCTGAAGACTGGACGACGACGTGGTGGATGGTGGATGGGGATTTCCTGACTCAATGCCAGAGCTGCAGGGCTGGCTTGGGCGTGCAGAGTCTGGAGTGAAATGTCGTACAGGAACAGGAAGAGTGGATTGGCAAAACGACGACCAGTGGGCTCGTGCGGGCGGCGGGTATCCGCAGAGTCGACAGTCAAAGAGTGATTGGCGAGCAAGGACGAAGGCATGCAGCGGGATACGGGCGACGTGACGTGCTGGGGGTTCAGGTATCGATCGAGTGCGTCTTCTGTTGCGCTCGATGATCCCTCTGCCGTCTGTCGCCTGTCTGTCCGCCTGATCTCTATCTGTCGCCTAATATCTGAGGGCAGAAATGGAATGTTCGAACGGAGGGGCGAGTCGACGTCTATCTGAGGCTACCTAAGGTGCCTAGGTAGGCAGAGCTGGACAGACCAGAGCCGGTGTAGGCACTGTCAGCTCAAAGCGAACCCGATCCTTTCGCCGAAAAGGGAAGGCAAACAGGCAGGCAGGCCGACGAAGGGCCCAGGTGAGATGAGATGATGGCCTGATGGGATTTGCCCCCGGTTTGATGGAATGGCTGTGTGGCCTCTGCTTCCGCTGGCTGGCTGGCCTTGTCGTGGCGCCTCTTGTGCACTGGTGGGCACGTTTTCGGTGCCTCGTTCTGCTGTGGCTCTCGCGCGCCTGCATCAATGGCGAGATTGCCAAGCTCGTGTGGAAGGGAAGAGGAAAGTTTCGGTCCCGAAGTGTCCAAGTCAAGGCGGCGGCGGTGTGTCGGGTAGAAAAAGGTACGGTCCAGGCAATCATGGGCAAACATGGGGAATGTCGGTTACTTGTGTGTTCCTTCGGGACCGAGCCAGGCCTGGAGGTTCGATCCCGCTAAGCCCCCTTAGGTCTGGTGCCCCGACGCCACACCAGTGAATACATGCATGGCACACTCGTCCCCCTCCACTCGTATGTGGCTCAACCCAGAACATGTCGTTCTCGTTCATCGTCAAATCTATATGTATCTTCGTACTACAAGTCCCCTAACCCACGTACCACTCCTTCCCTCATGTCATGTCCCGAACCAGCACTCTGTCTCGCTCAGACATCCATCCTCTTTTCTTTCCATCTGTGAATCAGCAGGCATCAATCATCCGGGCCCTTCTCGATACCCGCTCGGTTACCTCACCATGTCTCTGCCACCCGACGGCGAGCCGTATGGCCCCTCGTCGTCGACAGGCAACCTTTACGGAGCCCCGACGGGGGATCTGCCTTCCGATGCTGCAGGCAAGGTAAGGGAGCATCTATATGTATACTCTTCAGCCTCTCTTTCCTCTGTCTCATTCCTTGTGCCGGCGTCTGGCCTTGTCACTAGTCTTCATAGCAATCCAAACAGACCAACTTGACGCCGTCTGCTTCCTCCGTTCCTGCTGCTGGCTGTCGTTCATGCGGGCCGAACTTGTTCTCTCCTGCACATCTCTGACCTCGCCTTTTTTTTTGGATCTTGATCTTGGCCAATAGCTTTCATGACGACGATACCGACCGAGCACAAGTCGAGTCTCGACGTGGTGGACGAGAAGCACACGACCATGGGATCTTCAAGGTCCTCGACTGTCGGCTCCCCAACTGTTAGCTCCCCGACTGTCAGCTCTCATGGACCGCCTGCTCCCCCTCTCACTGCCGCCAGCCCACCCACAGAGGAGGCCGAGACGAACTACCAACCCAAGACGCTCAAGTTCTGGCTCATCATGGCCTCGAACTTTGTCGCCATGTTTCTTGTCGCCCTCGATCGCACCATCATCGCCACCGCCATCCCTCGCATCACCGACGAGTTCCAGTCCCTCGGCGACATTGGCTGGTACGGCTCGGCCTACATGCTGACCACCGCCGCCTCCCAGCTTCTTTTCGGTCGCATCTACAAGTTCTACAGCCCCAAGGTCGTCTACCTCGCGAGCATTGTCGTCTTTGAGATCGGCTCCCTCTTGTGCGGCGTTGCCCCCAACTCGGCAGTGCTCATCACGGGTCGCGCCGTTGCCGGCTTTGGTTCCGCCGGCATCTTCACCGGCTCCATGATGATTCTCATCACCATCGTTCCCCTCCACAAGCGGCCCATGTTCCAGGGCGTCTTTGGCATGGTTTTCGGCGTCGCTGCTGTCCTCGGGCCTCTCGTCGGCGGCGCGTTCGCTGGAAACGCGACCTGGCGTTGGTGCTTCTACATGAACCTGCCCATCGGAGGTGTCGCCTTTATCTTCCTCTTCTTGATGCTCCAGGCGCCCCAGAAGCCCTCGACGCCCGTGTCGTTGACCAGGCACATCACCCGTCTCGACCCCCTGGGATCCTTCTTCTTCGTCCCTTCCATCGTCGCCCTCCTGCTGGCCCTGCAGTGGGGTGGCGCGACCTACGCTTGGAGCAACGGCCGTATCATCGCCCTCTTTGTCGTATTCGCCCTGGCTTTTGCTGCCTTTGCTGCTATCCAGATCTTCATGCCCGACACAGCTCAGGTCCCCGTGCGCATCATCTCCCAACGAACCGTCCTCGCTGGCACTTTCTTCATGATCTTCCTCGCCGGCTCCATGATGCTGGCAGTCTACTATGTGCCCTTGTGGTGTCAGTTCTCTTCGGGCCCCTTGCAGATAGATCATTGGCTAACCAAGTCCAGTTCAAACTGTCAAAGGCTTCGATCCTGTCCAGTCAGGCATCTACACCCTCCCACTCGTCCTCAGCCTCGTCGCCTCCTCCATCATGTCGGGGCTGATCACCCAGCGCATCGGTTACTACACCCCCGCTATGCTCCTCTGCCCCTCCGTCATGGCCGTCGGTCTCGGTCTCATGAGCACCTTCCACCCCGGCAGCAGTACGGCCGCTTGGGTCGGCTTCCAGTTCCTCACGGGCTTCGGCCTCGGCTTCGGCATGCAGACGGTCGGCCTGGCCGTGCAGACGGTCCTGCCGCGCGAGGATGTATCAACCGGTCTGGCCATTACCTTTTTCGGACAGCAGCTCGGCGGCGCCGTGTTCCTGGCCGTGGGGCAGGCCATTCTCAGCAACCTCCTCGTTGACCGCCTATCGAGCGTGCCGGGCCTAGACCCCGATGCGATTGTGCAGAGCGGCGCAACGGATCTGCACGATGTCGTGCCCACAGAGGATTTGGATGTTGTGGTCGCAGCGTACAACTTTGCGTGTACGAGGATCTTCTTGGCCGGCATGGGGCTGGCGTTGGTGACGTTGGCGTGTGCTTTGTGCGTCGAGTGGCGGAGCGTCAAAAAAGGAAAGCAGGGGCCGGGGAAGGCTGCTGATGCGGAGGCTTTCAAGGAGAACAAGGGGGACACGGAGGCGTCGTCTTCTTGATGTGAAGGGGTCTCGAGGAACAGGCTGGAATGCCTGGAAGAGAGTTGTCAGGTAAGTTTCGTCAGCTGAGCGAGGCAGACGGTCAAAAGGTGAGTCCAGAACGTTAGGCATTGCATTAGATTAGATAGCGTTGAGGCAAACATCCCAAGTATGGAGTTGAAGCTTGAATCAATAATTCTTCATGATGATAATGTACTTGCGCCATCGTCGTGAAAGTGCCCACTAGTTCGTCTGATCCTACATCTGTCTGGCCATGGCCACGCTGGAACCGTAGGGTTTCCCCTCTACTTCGTTGGCATCTCTTCAAGCGAATATCCTGACAGACTCGCCATGCGTCACGCCCGGATCGTTAAACCTCAAACCCCGATCCAGTCCTGAAATGGCCTCCAGCTCCCCAGCCTCGAGATCAAACCCGCAGCAGTCGAGGTTCTCCCGCACCCTCTCGGCCCGCATCGACTTGGGGATGACGACGATGCCGCGCTGCGTGCACCACCGCAGCAGCACCTGGCCCGGCGTCCGGCCATGCCTCGCAGCGATGGCCTTGACGAGGGGCACCTCCATAAGCGGCGGCACGGCGGCGGCGCGCGGGTTGCCGAGCTCGAGGAACGACTGTGGGCCGAACGTCGAGTAGGCCGTGACGGCGATGCCGCTCTCGCGCGCCACGGCCACGAGCTGCGGCTGCGCGAGATAGGGGTGGTGCTCGACCTGCAGCACGGCGGGCGGGACGCGCGCGTAGGTCAGCAGGTCGTAGAGCAGCTGGGCGTCAAAGTTGGACACGCCGATCGAGCGCACGGGGCCGGCGCGGACGCCCGGCGCGTCGACGAGGGCCTCGAGGGCGCGCCACGTGTCGGCGAGGGGCACGCGGGCGCGCGGGTGCAGCCGCGTCTTGGCGGCGTCGGCGTGCCACGAGGGGAAGCGCGAGACGGAGGGGTCGACCCACTGCGTCGCGATGGGGAAGTGGATGAGGTAGAGGTCGAGCTGGTCGAGGCCCCAGGCGCGGAGCTCCTCGTTTACCATGCGCGTCGCGTGCGCTGGCGCGTGGTGGTTGTTCCACAGCTTCGACGTGATGAAGAGGTCGTCTCGGCTTACGAGCCCGTGGGCTATCGCGCGGCGGACCCCTTGGCCTGCCTCGGCCGAGTTGGCATAACCGTAGGCGCCGTCGATGTGGCGATAACCGGCCTTGATGGCTCCGTAGACGGCGTCGGCGGTCTGGGCCGCTGGGACCTTCCACAGGCCGAAGCCGACTTGAGGGATGTACTTGGGAAAGGATGTTAGTAGGGACTTGGTAAGCATGGAGGGTGGCTTACATGGCCGGAGGAGAGCTTCAATCGGGGGATGCTCGCAGCTATGGAGGGGCCCTTCATGGTGCTCTATGTCTAAGGTGTATATTATGTCAAAGATGATATCGCGTGTCTTTGGGTGTTTGAAGCCTTTGATGTAGAATGAACGTGATATGTGTCTGAAGGAACGGACGGACAAGGCTGAGAGCTTCCTGATGATCATCGTCACAGGGAGGGTCTACTTCATGTATGAGGGTTCATCTAATGGGGGTTCATGGGGGTCTCTCTAGAGCCTCCTGAAACCCCGGGGTTCATATCGTCACGAGGCCTGTGCGTCGAGGCTCCTGCAGCGTGGGGTTGCATCCCAAGCTACAAGCTACAACTGGACGTCACCTCTGTCAATTGAGCTCCAACAGCTGCAGCTGCTGCTCTCTCCTGCACCTCCAGGAACCTCGGTCATTGATCACCGACATCACCATCGTCACACAGCCGACGCAATGGCTCATCCCCCAGAACCGCCGTTTGTCGCCGAAGAGCGCGCCGGGTTCGACCTCAACCTCTCCCACGGCCACCGAGACCTAGTCCAATCCGTCGCCTTCAATGCCTATGGCGATCGCTGCGCGACCGGCGCCGTCGACGGCAAGATTCGAGTCTTCAATCGCCACAAGGACGGCGTCTGGGCGCCTCTGCGACACCTGGGGCGCGCACGGCGGCGAGACTCTAGAGCTTCAGTGGCTTCCTCCAACCGTCTACCCGAATCTGCTGGCCTCCCTCGGTGGCTACGGCCGCTTCAAGCTCTGGGCCGAAGACCCCTCTGCTGCCCCAGGCCGCCGATTCAGCGCTGGATCCTCTCGTACCCTCTCCGGCAAGCCCGCGTTCGAGACGCGTTCCAACAAGGCCCCTTACCGCTCCTTCTCCATTAAGCACAACGAGGAGACACGCCACACCTACCTTGCCCTCCTCGCCGCCGACGGCAGCCTCTCCGTCTACGAGAACGATCAGCCCGAGAACCTGTCCGAGTACACGCTCATCGACGATTTTGCCGTCGCCCCCAAGCCCGCGCGCGGCGAAGAGGTCAGCTTCAAGGTCGAGTTCGACCCCAACCCTGACCCCTGCTACACCGCTCTGCGCGCCGGCGTTCCCACCGATTCTCTCGCCCTTGTCGTCGCCGCCATGGGCACCGTCAAGCTCTACCGCTCCCGCGACATCATCACAGCCTCCTATGGCGGGCCGCAAGCTTCAGAAGGAGTTCTACCTCGGCCGCCGAGATTGGCCCCGGCAACCCATCGTGGCCTCGTCCGGCGACATTGCCTGGCCCCCCGGCAACGTCCGCGGTACGACACATCGCCTCAGCCTGCAAGACGGCT